CATCACTACCCCATCCTAGATCTCACTACAAGCTCTACCACCAATCTTTAGTGACGTGGTGCAGGTTTAAACACTTCCCCAAAACCATCAATCACTTCTGATTGGAGACCGGCTTTCACCGCTGGGTTTCGATCTGCCGGTGGATAAACGATAGTGTTGACCTTGGCGTTTCATTGCTGACTTCTCACCTGGAAGTGATGCCCATCCATCTCCGGCTTTTTTCGCGTAAATTTCACGGCTACGCGGCCGACGGGATTCGAACCCAAGACCTCCCGCTGCGCACAAACCTCCTCTACCACTACACCACACTGTCACTTGTGTCTAGATTCCGTTTTAGTTCCCAATATGTTATACTAAACCGAGTGTAAATTGCTTATTTGAGGCTCTAAATGAATTCAAATCAAAAAGTGGTCAACTACAAAGTTTCATAACTTTTTGAGATCTACAATTTTCATTTAGTAAGTTTTTCCATCCGAGGTCGTTTGAAAATTTTGAATTTTAAAATTTAAGAGATTCAAACGTAGTTTTGCATGATAAGATGATTTCAAATCAAAAAGTTGTCAACTACATAGTTTCATAACTTTTGGAGATCTACAATTTTCATTTAGGAAGTTTTTTCATCCAAGGTCGTTTGAAAAATTCAAATTTTAAAATTTTCAAATTCAAACGTCGTTTTTGCATGAAAAATGATTTCAAATCAAAATGTTGCCAGCTACAAAATTTCATAACTTCTCAAGATCTACAAAGTTTATTTTGGTCATTTGTTCATCCGACATAGTGGTAGTAACATTGTTCACAAATCATATATATCTCTCTTCTATTTTCATTAAATTAATATGAGAGATGTATATTTTATGAACAACGTTATTGTCGCTTTGTCAAATGAAGAAATGACCAAAATAAACTTGGTAGATCTTGAGAAGTTATACAACTTTGTAGTTGAAAAGTTTTTCATTTGAATTCATTTAGGGCCTCAAAAATTGATTCGAAAAACTGATTTGCCGAGGGCCAAAAAAATACACACGGCAAAATACCTCTTTGCCGAGTGCCAAAACATATGCACTCGGCAAAATACGGCTTTGCCGAGTGCTAAAAAAGGCACTCGGTAAACTGAAAGTAAATTGCTTGTTTGAGCCCCTAAATGAATTCAAATCAAAAAGTGGTCAACTACAAAGTTTCATAACTTTTTGAGATCTACAATTTTCATTTAGTAAGTTTTTCCATCCGAGGTCGTTTGAAAAATTTGAATTTTAAATTTGAGAGATTCAAACATAGTTTTGCATGATAAGATGATTTCAAATCAAAAAGTTGTCAACTACATAGTTTCATAACTTTTGGAGATCTACAATTTTCATTTAGGAAGTTTTTTCATCCGAGGTCGTTTGAAAAATTCAAATTTTAAAATTTTCAAATTCAAACGTCGTTTTTGCATGACAAGATGATTTCAAATCAAAATGTTGCCAACTACAAAATTTCATAACTTATCAAGATCTACAAAGTTTATTTTGGTCATTTGTTCATCCGATATAGTGGTAGTAACATTGTTCACAAATCTTATATATGTATCTTCTACTTTCATGAAACTAATATGAGAGATGTAGATTTTATGAACAACGTTATTGTCGCTTTGTCAAATGAAGAAATGACCAAAATAAACTTTGTAGATCTTGAGAAGTTATACAACTGTGTAGTTGAAAAGTTTTTCATTTGAATTCATTTAGGGCCTCAAAAATTGCTTCGAAAAAATGATTTGCCGAGGGCAAAAAAAATGCACACGGCAAAAAGCTTCTTTGCCGAGTGCCAAAACAAAGGCACTCGGCAAAATACATCTTTGCCGAGTGCCAGAAAAAAACACTCGGCAAAAACGTATTTTGCCGTGTGTTTTTGTTTGCCGAGTGTATTTTATTTGGCACTCGGCAAACACGGTCTTTGCCGAGTGCCCGATAAAATACACTCGGCAAAGCCTCTGCACTCGGCAAATCGCAGGTTTCCGGTAGTGATAGATGAAGCCGAAGCCGACATAAGCCGTGCCAAAGAGGCCCTTAGCTAGTAGCCAAGGACCAGGAAAATCCACCCTCATAGGCACAAGAAAATGTGAGCTAACTATAGCCTGATTGCATGCATGTAGCTGGGCAAGTATACGCATACGCACCGACGACAGCACAGCTCAGGAATGTTATACCCCTACCACGCACGTTCCACGTTGGTTGAGCATGTTACCATGACAAAACATACCATTTGAGCATGTTACCATTATTGTCGGCTGGCTTGCACACGTCTCCATGTAACTTGACCCGGCCGGCTATATATAGGCATGGAAGACGGCAACTTTTCTTCATCCCCGGCCCCATCGCTCTCTCCGAGCTTACTTGCATTGCATGTATATGCCTCTCTCCTCTAACCAGTCTCTGTCGATAGAGTTAGCACTTAAGTGTGCACACTAGCTAGCTAGCTCGCTCGTAGAGCAGGAGGAACTAAGCGACGACGATGACGACGACCTCTAAGCTCGCTGTCCTCACTCTGTTTGCCCTGCTCGGCTCCGTGTCATGCCAGGGCGGAGGCTACTCCTACCCATCCCCGCAACCACCACCAAGCCCACCCGCGCCTACGCCCGCACCCCCACCCAGCCCAGGGACGCAACTCATGGTCGGATACTACATGAACAAATGTGGCGCTTACGTGGATGTGGAGGCCATTGTCAAGAAGCACGTCAAGGCCACTGATGCTGGCATGCAAGCCGGCCTTGTCCGTCTCTTCTTCCACGATTGCTTCGTCCGTGTAAGACCTCCATTGATCAAAGCTAGCCATACGTACCCTACATGCATGCATATAACCACTATATATAGTATTAATTAGTCACAATCACACAACACCAACACAACTTCGTCCATGCATGCGATGTGACAACTAATGACATGTGATAATGCATATGGTTTCATCATCAGGGATGCGACGCCTCCATCCTCATCGACACCTTCAGCAACGACACCAGCCTGACCCCGGAGAAGTTCGGCCCGCCCAACTTCCCCAGCCTGCGCGGCTACGAGGTGATCGACGCGGCCAAGGCAGAGCTCGAGGCGGCGTGCCCCGGCAAGGTCTCGTGTGCGGACATTGTCGCGTTCGCCGCCCGCGACGCATCCTACTTCCTCAGTGGCGGCAGCATCAGCTTCGTGATGCCCGCGGGCCGCTACGATGGCAACGTCTCCCTTGCCAACGAGACCCTCCTCAACCTGCCCCCGCCGTTCGGCGGCTTCGACCTGCTCGTCAAGATGTTCGCCGCCAAGGGGCTCGACGTCTTCGACATGGTCACGCTCTCCGGCGCGCACAGCATCGGCCGCTCCCACTGCTCGTCCTTCACCAGGGACCGCCTCCCGCCCAGCAACACCTCCGACATCGACCCGGCGTTCGCCGCCACGCTGCAGGCTAGCTGCGCGTCGGCCAATGGCACCGACAACACGGTGATGCAGGACGCCGTGACCCCCAACGTCCTGGACAACCAGTACTACAAGAACGTGGTGGCCCACAAGGTGCTCTTCACGTCGGACGCCGCGCTCACCACCAACTTCACATCGAACAACCTGGTGCGCGCCTACGCGGACTTAGTGCCCTATCTGTGGCAGAATAAGTTTGCCAAGGCCATGGTGAAGATGGGCGGCGTCGAGGTCAAGACCGCCGCCAACGGGGAGATCAGGAAGACGTGCCGCAAAATCAACAGCAGGCCGTGATCACTGATCAGATGGCCCGCCGACCTTGTCTTGTCCCTCCAGATCAAACTCTGATGACGCCTCAGATGAATGAATTGAGAATAAATAACCATTCTTTGCTTTCCGGACCTCCAACTTCCTAGTCTTTGCCATACATTCTCCTCTAATGCTTCTTCATTCTCTAGCTTTATGCCTGTTTTCATGGTGTAATTTTGATTGCGATAATATATATCATACCATTTTTGTAATTCACAACCAAATCTTCATGATCCGGTAGATCCATATATGTCACCAAATTAAAATTACGAAATAGATTTGCTGAAGTAGCATTAAGTATTAACTCGATACATGCTTAGTAGAACAACAAAAATGCATACTATATCTCTATTATGCAATACAGTATAAGGATTTAAGTTTGTTCTATGTTTTTTTGTGTCAACAAAGCATATTAAGTCTATGTCGATAATATCATCTTTGGATCAGTAAATTAATATTTTTGTAAGGAGAGCTTGAGATGCTCATGCTTGAAGAGTTAAGCTTTTTCTTGGTTTGCAAATCAAGCAACTTAGAGAGGGGGCATTTGTGAGCCAAGCCAAGTATTCGAAGGATATGTTGAAACTTGGTGGAAGATGTTAAAGCCCGCCCATCAAGACATCAATGCCAATAAATAGATTCTTGTTCGATTCTATCATAGGATATGTGAGAACAAACCTTTAACAATCATAGATTGTTCCCCTTATGAGCACCTCCAATTTGTGGACTCCAACCAAGATTCTTATTAGTATTTGTGGACTCCAACCAAGATTCTTATTAGGTTTTCTCAAATTCCAAAATTGATGGTGAAATCACACTACTACAGGATTGATTTTGTGTGGCATTGCACTTTAATTAACGGAGGCGGTTACAAAATTCAACCGCCTCAAAAAATACCTGACGATTAACGGAGGCGGATGTTTTCATTTACGGAGGCGGTCACTTTTGCCCGCCTCGTAAAATTGATTTACAGAGGCGGTCAAAAAATGCCCGCCTCCGAAAATTGATTCACGGAGGCGGTCATCTTAAGGCAACTGCCTCCAAAAAAAAAAATCTATTTTCAGAGGCAGTTGTCTAAAGACGTCCGCCTCCATAAAACTATTTTCGGAGGTGGGCACACTATAATGCTCATCTCCAAAAAGTCCGAGGCCCAACGTCGTCTCATGCGCGGACATCGTCGCCTTCGCCGCCCGCGACGCGTCCTACTTCCTCAGTGGAGGTGGCATCAATTTCACCATGCCTGCCGGCCGCTATGACGGCAACATGTCCCTCGCCAGCGAGACCCTGCCGAACCTGCCCCTGCCGTTCGCCAGCTTCGACCTGCTCGTCAAGATGTTCGCCGCCAAGGGGCTCGACTACTCCGACATGATCACGCTCTCCGGCGCGCACAACATCAGCCGCTCCCACTGCTCCTCCTTCAAGGACCGCCTCCCGCCCAGCAACACCTCCGACATGCACCCGGCGTTTGCCGCCACGCTGCAGGCTAGCTGCGCGTCGGCCAATGGCACCGACAACACGGTGGTGCAGGACGCCGTGACCCCCGACGTCCTGGACAACCAGTACTACAAGAACGTGGTGGCCCACAAGGTGCTCTTCACGTCGGACGCCGCCCTCAGCACAAACTTCTCATCGAACAACCTGGTGCGCGCCTACGCGGACTTCGTCCCCTATCTGTGGCAGAACAAGTTTGCCAAGGCCATGGTAAAAATGGGCGGCGTTGAGGTCAAGACCGCCGCCAACGGGGAGATCAGGACCAACTGCCGCAAAGTCAATGGCAGGCCGTGATCGATCAGATGGCCCGTCAGGCTTGGGCTTGTCCCTCTAGGCCTTGTTTAGATTTTAAATTTTTTCACTCTCTTTTTATCACATTAAATCTTTGGATATATGCATAGAATATTAAACATAGATAAAAAAAATAACTAATTACACAGTTTGATTGTAAATTACGAGATGAATCTTTTGAGTCTAGTTAGGCCATAATTGGACAATAATTATCAAATACAAACAAAAATGCTACAGTGTCCAATACTGATTCTCAACCCTCATCTAAACAAGGCCCTACTTTAGATCAAACTCTAACCGTCTGACGCCTCAGATGAGTGGAGAATAAATAAGCATTCTTTGCTTGTCGGACTTTCAGTTTCCTAGTCTTTAGTCTTTAAAGTACATTCTCTTCTAATGCTGCTTCATTCTCTAGCAGTATGCCTGTATGCCTGTTTTTATGCTGTAATTTTGATTGCGATAATATCGTACCTTTTGTACTAGTTCACAAGAAAATCTTCACGATGAGTGAAGAATAAATAACCATTAGTTGATTTGCGCATTTTCAGTTTTCTAAGGGCACTCACGATGTATAAAATACCTGTAGTTTCTATAGCCTAGGTACTGTAGCAAGAAACTGCTCTTCGCATTGCAACTTCTGCGTAGAGTCCTAACAAAAATCTGTTAGGACCATGGGTGTACCTTTCTGTGTAACCGTAGAACTGGGTAGACCGCTGCTTTGGGTTCCTCTGCACACCTTGGCTGTAGCCTCGCGGACGCCAGTGCTGCGGTGTAGTAGGCCTCCAGCGGGCGCTGATGAAGACTGTGGTGACCCTGCAGAGGAGACGGCGGTGGTGGTGGGGCATCCCGTCGCTGGCAGCACGCTTTAGATCGGTTTAGGGTTTCTATCGTGGTGGATCAATGGCGGCTCAGACCAACCTCTTGACTCGAGCCGTGATCCCCACTTATCTTTATATGTGCTGTGCGACAGGAGCCCACCAACCATATTAGGGTTGGGCTCCCCCGATCAGGGAGCAGAGACAAGGGCCCTGGACCTATTGGTGGAGATCAACTAACATTCTCCCCCTTGATCTCACTATCATCTTTCAATTTCATTTACTTTTGTTTATTCCATTACAGATTAGTGCATAGAGCATGTCTCATCGTCACGGTCCATTGTCGATAGACTTAACAGCTACAACACACTACTCTGTTTTGAAATAGATACTTATCTTTGGGCCTTCTTTTGTCCAGGAATTTTAGGCTTTCGCTTAAACCCATGCTAGCTACATGTTCTCTGAACACCATGTTCTCTGAACACGTTGGGTGGTAAGCCTTTTGTAAGCGGATCCACGAGCGTCTTTTCTGTACTTATATGCTCAAGACTTATGACTTGACCCCGAACTTTATCTATCACAACATAATACTCTATGTCAATGTGTTTGGCAGCACCACTTGACTTATATTGTGAGCATACTGTACTGTCAGATTATAATCACAGTATAACTTAAGTGGTCTATTGATGTCGTCAACCACCTTCAAACCGGGTATGAACTTCTTTAGTCAGTTCACCTGCCCCGTTGCCTCATATCACACTACAAACTGTCATACATTGTGGACGATGTAGTGACGGTTTGCATTTGAGCTTTTCCATGAAATAGCTCCCCCTTTTCGAGAGTGAATACATATCCTTTCTGAATTTTCTATCATCTCTTGTATAATTAGAATCTGAATATCCCACTATGTGGAGTGAATCAGATCTTCTATATATCATCATAAGGCCTTTCGTTCCTTGCAAATAATGCAAGACTTTCTTTACTAATTTCAGTGTTCTGTTCCAGAATTGCTCTGGAATCTGCCAAGTAACCCGGCAACAAATACCAAGTCAGGGCGCGTACATACTTGAGCATGTTGCAAGCTTCCGACAGCTGAAGCATATGAAACCACTTTCATTTGATTGAGCTCATATTGGTTCCTGGGGCATTGAAAATCTCCATATCTGTCGCCCTTGACTATAGGAGCAGGTGAGGGACTACATTTGTGCATACTGAATTTCTTTAAGATTCTTTCTATGTATGCCTTTTGTGATAGTCCTAATACCTCTTTACTTCTATCTCGGTGAATCTCGATCCCTAGAACAAATGAAGCTTCACCAAGATCTTTCATATCAAATTTTGAGGACAAAAAACATCTTTGTCTCTAGTAGTAGACTGACATTACTACTAGCAAGTAAGATATCATCCACATACAGGACAAGTAAGATAAACTTCCCATTCTTAAACTTTGTATAGACACAATTATCCTCTACATTTTCTTTAAACCCAAAATTCTTTATTGTCTGATCAAACTTCAAGTACCACTGTCTTGAAGCTTGTTTTAATCCATAAATGAATTTCTTTAGTCGGCATCCCATTCGTTCTTTTCCTTCCATGACAAAACCTTTCGGTTGTGCCACGTAAACATTTTCCTCCAAGTTTCCGTTGAGAAATACCGTCTTTACATCTATCTGATGTAATTCTAAATCGTAATGTGTCATTAATGCCATTATGATTCTGAAGGAAACCTTATATGAGACTGGAGAAAAATTCTCATTGTAATCAATTCCTTCTCTTTACGTAAAGCCTTTTGTCACAAGTCTCGCTTTATATCTCTCTATATTCCCTTGAGAGTCAAGTTTTGTTCTGTAGACCCATTTACAGCCAACTGTTTTGGCTTCTTTATGAATTATTTCCAAATCCCAAACTTTATTGGCATTCATTGATTTTATTTCAGCTTCTATGGCCTTAAGCCACTTTGATGAATGATCACTTCTCATGGCTCCTTCAAATGAGGTGGGATCATCCTCCATTTAAAATTTCTCAGTGTTTTACACATTATAATCAGCAGGAATAGCTGATTTTCTAACTCTTTGAGACCTTCTAGGGGCCTTCATATTTGGCACATCTTCTGTTTGAGGCTGTTGTTGTTCCCCCTCATATGTGACAATAGTTTCTATAGGATCCTGAAGAACAGGTTCCTCATCGTCATTCATTGTTGCCACATGTGGGATAACAACAGGTGCTGGCACCATAGTGTCTTGCACTGTCGGTGTAGCGATAACAGGTAGTGAGAAAAATGGCTCAAGAATTATTGGAGTGGGCGCATACACCCGCTTCACTTCAAGGTCAATTTCTCAAGCTACCATGCTCCCCCTCATCAATTCATCCTCTAGGAAGACAGCGTGTCTCGTTTCCACAAACTTTGTATGTCTCTCTGGACAGTAGAAAACGAAAACCTTGACTTTTCTGGGTAGCCAAACAAATGACAACTTACTATTTTGGGATCTAACTTCCTAATGTTTGGATTAAAATACTTTAGTCTCAGCAGGGCTCCCCAACACACGCGCAAGTGGTTTAGTGAGGGTACTCTTTCTATCCATAACTCATACGGTGTTTTGGGCATCAACTTTCTTGATACTCTATTGAGAATATGAATGACGGTTTTAACGCCTCCATTCACATGCTCAACTGTAAGGTGGAGTAACTTATCATATTGCCCGCCATATCTATCAGGGTACGATTGATTCTTTTAGCTATTCTATTCTGCTAAGGTTCGCCCGGTGTAGAATACTGGGCTACTATGCCATTCTTTTAGGGTATGCCGACCGTAATACTCCCCCACGATCAGACCTGACTATCTTAATCTTTAATATCTTAAATTTATCCAATGCTTTTGTTCTTTCTTTGATTGGATAAATGTAGCCATAATGGGAGTAATCATTTGTGAATGTTATGAACGAATCATAACCATCCACACTCTTTACAGGAAAATGACCACAGATGCCTGTGTGAATAATCTATAAAATTCCTACGCTTCGTTTGTCATCTTTCTTAATTCTCTTTACATACTTTTCTTTTATGCATTCTCTGTATTGTTCTAAATCTAAGAGCTCTAATGGAAGAAGAATATCATTCTTAACAAGTATTTCTATTCTCCTCCTCGAAATATGGCTTGAACGATAGTGCCATAATTTCGATGACGCATCGTGAGCTCTCTTATGCCAACATTATCAGAGTAACACTCTGTCACCAGCTGCTTTATCAGCTGGGTAGCATATGTCTTTGAAGAGCCAGTGAACTGACTCTTTATTCTATCGAGGTACTTTGTGACCGTGTCACACTCTGGAATTGAGCCCACAATTACAGGTTCAATCTTGTTCTTTATCACAGCCAAATATTTCTTGTTGGCAGTGACACACTTCCTATGCTCAAGGACATAAGACATCTTTCGGGATTCAAAATCCCTCACTTTAGTTGCCCAAACGGCATCATTCTCTTTTATCTCCCTCACCGGTGCCACAGAATCAGTGGGACATGGTGAGGTGACTACCCAGTCCACCTCAGCCAAGATGAAAACCAGGTCAAACTTTTTTTTAACATAAAATTAACATCATTTGCATGCTTTGATTCCAACGTTGGTCAAAATCAAAATATACAACTATTCTTATACACTAATTCTACATCACTGTTGGGCAGAAATAGAATTAATGCATAAATCTTAACTTTCACAACTTTCTTACACACTAATTCTACATCACCGTTGGGCAGAAATAGAATTAATGCATAAATCATTAAAATTTATAACTGTTCTTATACGCTAATTCTACATCACCATTGGACAGAAGTAAAATTAATGCATAAATTATTAAAATTATGATATTGTTATTAACAACGTTGGTCAGAAAATAACATCATAATCATGTCAAATCTCTTTTTCTCCAATTTAATACCACATTGGTTCAAATAACTGGAGAATAAACAATTTCTTTAGCAGCAGAAAAACTTTCTTCTTTTCTCCAATTAAATACCACGTTGGTACAAATTAACTGGAGAATAAACAATTTCTTTAGCAGCGGAAAACGTATACACAATTTCTTGAATTTTACCCACAAGGAAATTCTCTTTTCCATTTTCTTTAAGCCATTAATCAATTTCCAGGAAATAAACATTTACCGGAAAAAGGAAAAGCATGAAAAAATTCATTAT